AAATTCTTAATATAATGCTTGTAAATAGAATTCAGTAATGACTGAGGGAATTTGTATATTATAACCAAGTGGGCTACTTCCTTAAAAGCAAGGCTGGTTCAACATACATATAATCAATCAATATTGTATGCCACACAAATAGATACAAACGTTGAAATGGCATAAATACTTCAACATGCTTTCATGAAAAAAAGTTCTGTAGTTTTTTAGGAATAGATGATATGTGCCTAAAAAATAAAGGCTATATAGAAAAAGCATACAGACAAATTTATATTAAATGAGAACAAGCAGAGAGCATTTCCTCTAAACAGAAACAAGACAAAGATATACACTTTCTCCTTCCCTATTTTATATAATGCTTATATGCTTATCTATCACAATTAGGCAAGAAAAGACAAAAAATGGATCAGAATGTGAAGGGAATAAGTCAAATTATCCCAATTTGCAGGTGACATGATGCTTTACTTAAAAGGCCCTGATGTGTCTGATAGAAAAATTTTGAACCTAATTAATAGCATGAAGTTTCAGGATTCAAGTCCTAGTGCACAAACCCATGTAACATAAAGTGCCAAGACAACATGTCCTTTCCACTCCTGTGTTACTTATCCATGGTAATGAACATCAATGATAATGACATGGGTGATTTTCCAGACAAAGAATTCAAAAGAATATTGTAATATGCTTACAGAACTCAAAGAAGATATGAATATTCCTCAAGACAAAAACATCATCATCCAAAACAATAACATCACAAAGAGCTGAATGATATGAGGAAGAAATCCAACCTATAAAAAAGGAAAATAATTGTTAAAGAAAACAAACTCAATTGATGGTGGAAATGAAAATAATAATAATTTAAAAAACAAAGAGACACTCAGTGGAATGTCTCACCAATATAATGAATCATGCCAAAAGAATGAGAGTCAGGACTGGAACATATTGTAAAGGTAAGGAGTTGTTTAGTAAAGGACAATGACAAAAATTTAAATGTGTATGAAGAGAACATGAAAATGCTTTGGACACAATGAAGAGACCTAACCAAGCTTTTGATAATGGGCAGAAGGCATGCAGAAGAATACCATAAAAACATCATAGAGAATAATATCAATAAAAACATAGAAAATTCCCCCAAATAAAGAAAGATATGCCCATCTAGGTATCTGGAGGGGACTAGAGAGCAACAAGGGGATTGCAGAACAATTAGAAACAGGAAAGAAGTTCCCCATGGTGTAATATAGTTAATTGATAAAAACCCAGAATAAGGAAATGGTATTGAAAGTTACAAGAGTGGTCAAATATTTATAAAGGCAGGTCCAACAAAATAACACCTGAATGTTCAACAGAAACTTTTGAAGTCAGATAAATCTGGAAAGATATAATCCATGTTCTTAAAGAAACAATTGCTAACCCAGACATTTTTATATATAGGAAAATTATATGTAAAAATTGAAGGAAAAATGAAAACTTTTCACAATAAAATGTTTCCAGAAACTTATGATCAGTAATTCATAAGTTTTAGCTTCAAAGAATAATGAATAATGGGATATATAGCCTGTAGAGAATTAACACACTCAGGTACTCACAGTCACAGGCTATGAGTAAACAATTCCATAATAGATAATCCAGAGTCCCAAGAAAACTACCCAAATAACACATGAAAGGACTTATACATCTTCTAAAAATAACTCTTGGTATTGATGGCGTTAATATGATAATAAAAAGATTCAGAGTAGACGACTGGGTTAGAAAAAGGAACCATTCTTGTTGCTGCATTGAGAAACAGATCTCTCCTTCAAAGCACGCACCACATTAGGTTAAAGTTTGGAAAAAGATACTCGAAGCAAGTGAAACTAAGAAGCAAACATGCATAGCTACTGAGTCAATCCAAAACTATTTAGAAGAGATAAAAGAGATTGCTTTATATTCTTGAAGCAAAGGGTCCAACCAAATAATACTATCTATATATCTTTCTATATAGATATAGATATAGCAAATTAAAGACATACTGCTATTAATAAAAGGATGATATGCAGTGACAGTGAGTGAATTTAAACTCTTGGGGACCCACAGTTCATCTGGACAAAGACTAAACAGAGAAAATTTGGTGTTTAATGTCATATGGATTACATGAGTCTCACAGATATCTACAAACATTCCTCTCTAGCATGACCCGTCTACTCATTGTAGGTAACACTCAGAATGATGAGCCTTGGATCTGTGTCTCCATGAGGAAAGATTTTCAGGTCCTAGTTTTCTTTTCTTTTTCCTTTTATTCTTCTCTCACCACAGTGAGAATAAATTCCAGGAGGAAAATAATGTACTGGAATGAAAACAGACATCACAATTAGCTCTCAGCCTGGGGATTTTCACATGTAAGGAGGAGGCAGGTCAGGCAGGAAATACCTTGTTTGATCTGAGTCAAAAGGACCTTTTAAATCAGGGAATTCTCTCTCTCTCTCTCTCTCTCTCTCTCTCTCTCTCTCTCTCTCTCTCTCTCTCTCTGATTAAAATAAACTGTGTATAAATATCCCAGTCATGTCTGATTCTGAAAGTGACAGCCTGCCTTCCTTTAGCCTGAGTATGTGTTCTCCTAATTCAAAATAAAGCAAAAGTAAAACTAAAACAAACAAAAATAGGCTTACCAGCTTTAATTGTAATAACAAGGGCCTGGAAATAACCTAGATGCCCCTCAACTGAGGAATGGATAAAGACAGTTACACAATGGAGAATTACTCAGTTGTTAAAAACAATGACATCAGGAAATTTGAAGGCAAATGGATGAAACTAGAAAAAAAATCATCCTAAGTGAGGTCACTCAGACCCAGGAAGGCAAGCATGATATGTAGTCACTCAAAGTGGATTGTAACTGTAAAGTAAAGGTTAACCATGTTACAATCCACAGACCCAGAGAGGTCAGGCATCAAGGAGGGCCTCAGGGGTGGTGCATGGATTTCCCTGGGAAGGGGATATAGAGGATCCCTCTTGGTTGGACTGGGGGCAGGTAGACATGGGAACTTGAAGGATTAGGTTGTGGGGGTGAGAAGGGAGAGTACTGAGAACAATGACTAGAAGGGGAGGCTTTATGGAGTCAAGTAGAAGCCTGATGCAAAGAAAACTTCTACGAGCCTACAAGGATGGCCCCAGCTAAGACTCCTGGCATTAGTGGATACCTAACCTGAACTGGCCATCTCCTGTGATTGGATTAGTGACTACTCTGGTTGTCAGTGGAGAACCTTTTCCCAGTGACTGGTGGAGGCAGATTCAGAATTCTAGGACCAAACATTGGGCTGAGCTCCAGAAGTTATGCTGAGGAGAGGGATGAGTAATCATGGGA